AAACATGATATTTATATAGGTCGGGTAACTTTGTCACTGATACATTGCAAACGTTATAAAATATTTAAAGGGATGTCCACAATAGATATTTCTTTTAAGCATATCGGTTAAGAGATTTTATGATACAGAGTAAATAAATTAAAGCGGGCGCATACATTTATAGCAGTCTGTTCACAACAGTAGGTAACTAAATAGATATAAATCACGTATAATTTCGGTGGTAGTAGCAATTAAGGGGGAAAGGGAAGGGTACCATTGTATCAATATACGGTATATGGAAAATAGGTATATAGGTGGATGAGATAAAGTGAAAATTGTATTGTCATGTTCTTACAGGTGGGTCTGTTCTATATTGTCAACACACGAACAACCCAGCACAAGGGAGTGCTGGTAACATACGGTACGTTCATTATGGATAATTAGGTGGCACTATTACGCGAATCCGCTCGGAGCTAGAAACATAGTACTAACATCATACAGAGTTCAAACTGATAAGGGTATCTTATTACGTATTACCCTCGTAGGTCAAAGGTTCATCAAGACCAACGCTGGTCATAACAATTCGCCAGAGACGTAGACTACACCCTATCTCTGGGGAATTTAAATAGTAGCAAACACTTACCGTCCCGGTACAGGTAATAATAAAAAACTTTATCTTGTTGGTTAGGGGAGGGGTACACCGGTTCGGGTGTTTTACTTTTATTATTTTCATCTTAGGCCAAGCAAACTAAGCACATACAGCTACAGACGTAACCTAAAGACCCAATCGTCAGGTACGTATTAGTCTAAGAGTCATACTTACGACACAACATAGGCTCTGGCACAATAGTGGTGTATATATAAAAATAAATAAATAAATAAATAAATAAATAAAAATTTTATTCTATTTACCACGATATACTTCCCTAATTTTTGCTCATCACAGAGGTATTCACCTTCGGTTTAAATCATAGGTAGATTCACAATACTCAACCAAATACAAATAGGGCCTCACCAAGCATGCCTAGTTTACGGTTATAGGTGTTAATTGAGGCCACCTTTCCGCCACAACGCTTCGGTGGCACAGTCATACGTCCAACGCATAGTTAGAGCCCCTATACGGTCCAAAGGCTAGCAGCAGCACCTCGCCTACCTCGTTATCTACTACAACTTACTTATGAGTCACATCAAACCCTTTGTCATTCATATAGGATGTCTCACGCCTCCGACATAGGAGAAGACGTCTCCCCTCCCAGCACGCCAGCTAGACCACCCACCCCTCCGACGGGCCCAACTATAGCCGAAAACCTAGATAGCCCTTGTTCGTTGATGTCATGGACAATTCCTAAAATTGCTGCAGAACTCAGACGTAGGGGTGTACCATATCCGGCCTCGGTTAGGAAAGCCGAGCTATATAGGATTATGATGACAACCACCGACACCCCGCAACCAGGAACCAGCTCACAAGGAAATATGAACGAAACCATAGCAGGCCTGCAAGCCACCATGACATCTATCCTGGCGTCTATTAGTAATATCAGCCAGAGAATGGACAGACTGGAAGCTCCTGAGCCAATTATCATGGCACCCAATATCAGTCTTACACCTGAGATTGAACACATAGCGGCACAGGGTAATGTGGCAGGGGCACAAATCGCACAAAATCCTACCACTCACATTGTCACACCAGCACACTTGGTACCTCCTAACATTAGGAAAGATATTTTAGAGGGAAAAGACGTCAACCTAATTTCCCTACTGATAGCGTCTCAAGACGTAGTAGACAATAAGACTTATAATTATGGGGACTTGTCAGTGGTGATGAAAGCTAGAGACCCCAGACTAAGTAAAAAATTAACCATACCAGAGTTCGTCCTAGCTTTTGGCTGCTTTATGCACCGCTTTTCCCCATCGTAGAGAAGAACTGGATTTGTATTTGCACAAATTGGTGGATCTACCTTAATTCACACCCATCTTAGTACAATTTCTGATCACGGGTTTCACGGAGGGGTTTCACACGGGGTTGGTAGCACTACCATCAGGAACTATTGAATGCAGGAATTTACAATCTGCCACTACTGAACCAGCAACAGTAGACATTTTGTTGCAAGCTGAAGTAGGGAATGGTTTCATGTTAGGGCCATTCACACAGCCACCATTCACTTGTTGGAGAACCAGTCCAATAGGAATTGCGTGGGGCAAATACAACAATAAAGCACGGTTAGTCATCGATTTGTCAGCCCCTCATTCCAGCACCACACCAAGCCTAAATTCACTTATACCATAGGCTGAGTTCTCTTTACAGTATGCCACAGTAGATAATGCCATACAGGCCATACTGGAAGCAGGGGTGGCAGCTTGGCTTGGGAAAACCAATATTTCAAATGCCTTCAAGCTGCTCCCTTTGCACCCCTCTCTATGGCATCTGCATGGTGTAAGGTGGAAAGGTTTATACTACTTTGCGAACCGGCTGACGTTTGGGGCCAAAAGTAGCCCCAAATTGTTTGATATTTTTGCCGAGACACTGTGTTGGCTACTTTTAAATATCTGCTGTTGTCCAGTAATTATACACTATTTGGACGACTTCCTAACAGTAGAGAAACCAGACGCTATACCACACAGCATCAACAAGACAGTCGCATTATTTAAGACATTAGGGGTACCAGTGGCTGAGAACAAGACAGTGGGCCCCACCACCAGACTAACCTTCCTAGGTATCAAATTAGACTCAACTGACATGAAAGCTAGCCTGCCAGTGGACAAAGTTCAGAGAATCCGGGTAGAGGTTGAGTCGTTCCTTGACAAAGGTATAACGTCGAGGAGGGATCTTCAATCACTCCTGGGTTCAATGAACTTCGCCATGAGAGTTATACCACAGGGACGAGCCTTCATCTCACGTCTACTTAGTTTGTTACCCAACTTACCCAACGACGACAGCAGGGTTACACTAGACATTCAGGCTTGGGCAGATCTGACTATGTGGTACCATTTCCTTTCAGACTGGAATGGGAGAAACTTGTTTATTCCACCGTTGACATTAAACTCCCCTGTGTTATGGACAGATGTGGCAGGTTACGCAGGTTTTGCAGCCATTTTCGAAGACAAATGGTTGAGGGACGCTTGGCCTAGCGAAGCATTAGGATTACCTGCTTTCACAAAGACGTCGGCACTGTTTGAGATCTACCCCATAGTGGCAGCAGCTAAAGTCTGGGGCCACTTATGGGGAGGAAAAGCTGTCAAATGCTACACCGATAACATGGCAGCTTGCGAGATTCTGAACAAAGGCAGGTTTTCTTCACTAACAATCATGAGCCTGGTCAGGAGACTCACATGGTTGGCAGCCACTCAAAATTTTTTCCTGACTTGCATACACGTGCCAGGTCACCACAATTCAGCAGCTGACGCACTATCCCGTTCAAATTTACAGGTTTTCAGACAGCTACACCCAACAGCAGAGGAACTGCCAAACAAGGCTCCACAGTTCAAAGACCTCATCCTGGACTAAAATTACTCATGGTACACGGGAGAGCACTAGCAGAGGCCTCACTTTCACCAAACATTAGACGCATGTACAACCGAGCCTTAATATTATTCAATAAATTTGTGGCAGAATACCTCATCACGAATCCTTATAGGTTAGATACCATGGTGGAATTCACCTCTTTTTGCCATCTCAACTTGAAACTGGCACACAATACCATAAAACTCTATTTAACTGGAGTACAGCATCACGTAAGCAGCACATATCCCAGTATAAAAAACTTCCTGTCAGCACACCCCATTAAAAACATGCTAAAAGGCATCCAACGCTTAGAAAACCCAAAACCTACTACACGACTACCAATCAACGCTGAGAAATTCAGGGCATTGTCTGACATGTTAGATACCAAACCCTTCGATAATCACACCAATAAAACACTCAAAACAGCCATATACCTGGCATTTTATGGGTTTATGCCTCCCAACGAGCTCACTTTAAGTAACATCAACAATAAGGGAAATATGCTGTGTGTGTCAAACTTAAACAAAATAGGTGATCACTACACATTGTCAGTAAGACATTCAAAAACTAATCAAATGGGTCCGCCTCTCGACATTCAATTTTACCCAACCGGCAATCATTGGTGCCCCGTACAACTATTCGACAAATACATGGCCGGTATGGCTAATCAACCCAAACAAGCTCTTCTTCTCACAATACACAGTCAACCCCTGACGACCTCGAAATTCATCAAATACGTGAGATTACTATTCACAAGAATCGGGTACGATCCCGCGGCATATACAGGCCACTCCTTTCACATCGGGGCTGCAACATCAGCCTCCAGCCAAAACATACCAGTTCATATCATTAAAAAACTAGGCCGTTGGAAATCTTCGGCATACCATCGTTACATACCTCAACCTGAGAAAAAGTTGAGACAAGCTTTTAAACAATTGGCTAAATAAAAAGCTCGTGTAATAATGTATGTGTATACGTATTAAAGTGTGGAATGATACTTCTCTATTGCCCTCTTTATTTACAGGCCAACCCGTACGTCGGTTTCGGCACACTACAACCGACTTAGTATATTTTACTGTTGTTTAGACGTATAGGTCCACATAAATACGGCCTTCTTCCCTGACCACAAATGGGAAGGCGGAGCCTGGAGTTGTGGGAGGGGTTGCAACCGGCCTATATAAACCCTCTACTTACCTCCATACCTTGCTGACAGCGCTTGGTTACTTCCGGTTGCCCCACCCACCACACCACAAAAGGAAATCAATTAATTGGTTGGCCCTCTTTATTTACAGGCCAACCCGTACGTCGGTTTCAGCTCACTACAACCAACTTAGTATATTTTACTGTTGTTTAGAGGTATAGGTCCACATAAATATGGCCTTCTTCCCTGACCACAATATATATATATATACATATATATTTATATTGATAATATATATATATATATATAAATATATCCAGGTTCTGGCACTCAACCCCCCAAAAAATAATGATATAAACTGTACCCGGGTGCTTCCCAGCGAAATATAAACAAAGTAAAGAAAGGAGCACTCTCTCGGTTTTCCAAGAAGTCTTGATAAAGATCTAGGAGGGTTGAAATGTTGATGTATAGATTATGAAAATTTTGAATACATTGGAAAACCAAGAGAGTGCTCCTGTCTTTACTTTGTATGTATGTATGTGTATATATATATATATATATATATATATATATATATATATCTTGGCCATATGGGGCCCATACTACTTGTAGCACACTGGTGCTCCCAACTACAGCGCTGGCTGGCAAAGCTCAACTGGAGGGTGTCCCTGTGCAGTCAACATAGCATTTTTTGTAGGGTAAACTGCAAGTAATTCTTTGTATATTTATTTTTTATTGAAGCGTTTTGAGCATTCATGCATGTCAAGTATATATTTATCAAATCTCACGTCGTGCAGGATCGTGAGTCCAAATACATAGTAGTGAAAGGCAACGTTATTGCAAGAGTGAGACATGACAGCACATACGGCATTGTTATATCACAAAATTACATTCTAAACAATAATAGAAAGAGGGGTATGAGCTTGGTGCCCTGCGTTTCTTACGAGCTGGGGAGGGTACGGGGAATGTGTATCCAGGGGTATTCAACTTCAAAATTAAATATTAATGGTACCTCAAAGACAGAAAGGGGAAGGGGGGAGCTAAAATCAGGGGGAGGGGGGGGAGTAGCACCTGCCTTCAGTTCAGTGTGCCGTGTACTTTAGAGCAATACCATGCTCTGTTGAGGTTAGAGTATTAAGGCTCAGAGTGTTCAGGGCGTGTTAAGTGGCCACCTTGGCAAAACATGTTACCCATTTGTGTTTTCCTTGTAGTCCTTTTGAACTTGCCTGTTTGCGTGACATGTTCTATCAGGTCAGATAGCGTCGGGGTAGAGGTAGATAGCCATCTGCGTGCTAGTAGCGTAAGTGCAGCTACCAGTATGTGAAAGATCAGGTATGAAGTGTGTCTGGCTTTGATGTCTGGTAATATTAATAGGAGGCAGCACTCTGCGGTGTTCGGCAGTTTCGTACCAGTAAATTTTTCTATTATTGAGAGGGCTTGTATCCAGTGACAAGCTAAGCTAGGGCAACGCCACCAGATGTGCAACATGGAACCTTGGTCAGCCCTGCATCTCCAGATTTTTCAGATTAAGTGGGAGAGATTTTTGCGAGCCTCGTTGGCACCAAGTACCACCGGTACATAATTTTTCTTAAGATTTCACTGTGGGCTGCTTTCAGACTGTTGCCTTTAAGGCTGTGAATGTTCTGAGCCACTAAGCCTCTGTTATATTGTGACCCATCTCTTCCTCCCATGCTTTAAGGCAGGAGAGATCAGATAGAGAAAGCGGAGTGTGTAAAAGTTTGTATGTCACGGAAATGCACTTTTCGGTGTGGCTGCCCTGCAGCAGAGTTATTCAAATCGGGAGCCAGCTCTGTAGTTGGGAGCACGAGAAGTAAGCTGTATTTGACAATGTGAGGGTCTCGCGTCTAAAAAGGGATCAATTTAGTGTGGATACACAGTTGGTGCAGGTAGTATACTCCTGCTTGGCCCCAAAGTTTAAAATTAAAGTCGGGGATAAAACTAGTCACCATTCAGATAGGTGTAGCCAAGGATATCGGTGAGTAATGGCACAAATCGGTTCTGTGACTGTCCCATACCTGCATTATAGTGGTTGTGGAAGGTAGGCTATGCAACAGAGATGGTCGGGATGATTTCGGAAGCTAGAACATCTCGGTCGCACTGAGATCTGCCCAGTGTTCCGCTATGTACACACATTGTGGCGGTTCCGGGCCTGCCAGGGCTGTGGCGACAATGCTCAGGATTGCTGCCTGGTAGTATTGCTTAATGTTTGGTAGTCCCTTGCCACCTTCATTAAGAGGAGCTTGTAATAATAATGCTTTCACCCTAGGCCGCCACTCCAGGTAAACCTATTAATTGCTTTTTGTGCTGTGGTGAAGAAAGATGCGGGGATCTTTAGAGGTAGGGTTCTAAAAACATATTGTATCTTAGGTAGGATAGACATCTTCATGGTGGCTATTCTGCCTGTCCAGGATATGAATTTGCCTTGCCATGACACCATAAGGTCCGAGATCGATTTTAGAGTGTTTAGGTAGTTCAAACACAGGACTTTTGGGAAAACTATCCCTTAGAAAGTAAGTGAGTCATGTCTCCAGTCATATGGGTAGTTCGACTTAAGGAGTGTCTCCTGCTGATGCGGCAGGTGCATCATCATGGCCTGGGTCTTGGAAACATTTAACTTGTAGTAGGAGAATTTGCTATAAGCTGTCAGGAGGTTGTGGAATATCGGCAATGAGATGTGGGGTTGTGTGACGGTGACTAATACATCGTCCACAAACATGTTAAGTTTAAACTGCTTTGTCCCTACACATATTCCCGTGATATCCTGATTGCTCCTGATTAGTTCTGCCAAAGGCTCTAGGGCCAGTATGTAAAGCAGGGAGGACAAGGGGTAACCTTGCCTGGTCCCGTTTGCTATAGGGAAAGGGTCCAATAGGAAACCTCCATTAAAGACTCTGGCTGTAGGGGTGCTGTACAGGGCCTGAAATGCTGCTAAAAATGTGGGGGGGAAATTATATTTTTGCAGGACTCTCCTCAGGAATTCCCAATGTAGGCGATCAAATGCTTTTACCGGGTCAAGGGAAAGAATCACACTACCTTGGTTTTGCTTGTGTATAGTGCAAAGTAAATTTAGTGCTTTATGTGTTTCGTCTGTAACTTGACGGCCGCTGTTGTAGCCGACCTGGTCGGAGTGGAGTAGATGGGGGAGTATAGTTTTAAGCCTGGTCGCAACAGCTTGGCAAAGATTTTAACGTCCACATTGAGCAGGGATATTGGACGGAAATTGGGGCATTTGGTTGGTGGTTTACCGGGTTTGGGGAGGGTTGCTTTATTAGCTGCCAGGAGTTCTCCTGGTAGACTTTCTGAGGTTAAGGCGGATTGGAAGGAGGCCGCCATATGTGGGGCCAGGATATGGGAGAATTGTTTGTAATAAAAGTTTGTATAGCCGTCCGGTCCAGAGGCTTTATGCTGAGGGAGACTTTTGATAATGTGTTCAATTTCTTCTTGCTTGCATTAAGAGAGTCAAATTTTGTTTGGGACAGTCTGGGTAAAGACACTCTGTCAAGAAAGAGATCTATGTCAGTGCGTGATGGTTGGCGTATGGAAGTGTTCGTTTTAAGATTGTATAGTCTGCTGTAAAATTTAGCAAATTCGTTACAGATGTCTCGGGGTCGGAGTATTTTCTGTCCTGAATCAGTTAGTATGTAGAGGATCTTGGTAGAGGATTGTCTGTCTTTAAGTGTGTCAGACAAAGCCCTGCCTGCTTTTTTATTTAGGAAGTAATATTTGGATCTTAGTTTTTGAAGCGTATGAGTTGACTTGGGAAGTTGTATGTCATTGATTTGTTTGGTCAGGGATTTTATAGTCTTATATAGATCGCCTGATGGTTTTAGGAAGTGGGCCCGGGATGCATCTCCCAGGTTCCTGAGTAAAGTTAGTTCGTAGGCTTGGGCTTGCTTTTTGAGAAAGGAGCCTCTACTAATGAGGAGACCTTGTATCACTAATATGTGAGATTGACAAATGGAGGCATATGAGGTGTCTAGGTGCGTTTTAAGTGCAAAGAAGTCAAGTAATTCTTCTTGTAATGTGTCTACATAGGACGTATTCTGGAGGAGCAAGTCGTTTAAGCGCCATGGGTTACTGCCTCTAAATTGGAAGTCATCGGCTAAAGTGATAAATAGGGGGGCGTGATCAGACTATATGATGTCACCATATGAGCTATGGTGTACAGCGTTTAGTGAAGGCCCCTGAATGAGGCCTATGTCAATTCTGGAATGAGAGGCATGCACTGCTGAATAGTGGGAGTACTGTCTTTCTGAGGGGTGGCATGTCCTCCATACATCATAGAGATTGTGTCTACATAATAGTTTTGTAAGAGCCTGACAGGCCACCTTCACTCTCTTTTTCCTGGGAGCCCTAATTGGAGCAGAGGAGTCTAGAGATGGGTCTAGTATGTAGTTGAAGTCACCACAGAGCAGCAGGGTCCCTTTTTGTATGGGAGCAGTCTTGTTGAGGACGTGCTGGATAAAACTGCGTTGTCCCAAATTGGGAGCATAGATATTGACTAGCGCATATAGCCTATCGTATAGTAGACAAACCAGTATGAGGTTCCAGCCTTGTGGGTTGGTAAGTTTAAGAAGTAATTCAAAGACTACTGATTTATGTATGAATATGGAGACTCCCCTCGCTTTGGAGAGGTAAGCGGCGTGGTGTTTAGTCGGATAGTGGGCTATACCAAATGAGGATAGTTTTGCTTTGGCAAAGTGTGTTTCCTGTAAAAACACTATGTCCACCTGTGCCTGCTTGGCTTCCTTAAGGAACATGCGCCGCTTGTGAGGTGTATTAAGACCTCGGACGTAATGTGAGTATATTCTCATAAAATAAGAGACAGGTGAATGCTGAATTTCCAGTGGAGATGCCTATATAAAAGCAAATCTATGAATGACAAGAATTCTAAGTGCTTGTAGGTGGGGCCGATAAGTGACACCTGTGCCGACATGCCTGGCTATCAACAAGGCACTCCGCAGAGGCAGGAAATGGCATAAAAACGCAACCCGTAGCCATGTGAGTCGGAGTGGGGGTGTCTACCTTCTCCATGGGGTGGGGGACAGTGACCCGTGAGATCTCTCAGCTGGAGCTGAGATGGGGATGTCCGCTCAGGATATTGGTACAATGGTGCTATCAGGTAGATGGCATACTGGGGAACCTGTTCGAATTGGGCAGGTGTGGGTACCATATGCAAGGTAGTCAGGTGGTATAAACTGAAAGAACAAAAAGAAAGTATATACAGCAATACCCATGGCATTGGGTATGTTGTGGAAATGGGTTCCATGGGGGGCCATGGATAATGGCCTAATGGGTCCCAGAGTAGATAGGGTAGGCAGGAACAATGTGTCAAATATCATGAACATTACATCTACGGCTTAACAGTACAACAAAAACACAGCCTGTCAACCACAATTAAGGATATTAACGGTAACATTAGCGTGATGTCAAAAGCATGTGTGTACACACCTTATGAATTTTCTAGGCCAATACACTTATAAGGAATCTTATGTGTGGATGTCCCTTATTTTTTTTAT